GACTTTTTAAAAAAAAACAGAGAAGGTAAGAATGGAGTTTGCATTCCTGTTGCCAACACCACTGCTTTTGTCTCTTGCAAGAGCAGTTCCATCGACCATGTCTTGTTGCTCCAGAAGTCCCTCTTTCCTGAATTTCAGGCTGCTGGCTCACACCTTCTAGGCTCCAGAGGAACGCAGGTGTCTTGGATGTGAAAACCAAGGTCTTCATTCAAGTAAGCAGGCTTTCTTTACCAGTATGGGGCCCCTCAACTTGGCTTGGTGTTCAGTGGCGAGCCCCTGCTGCCTGTAGAGCACGGGGAGAAGTATTCATGGCAACCCGTGTTGCTAGGCAGATGGATGATTGTGTTTTGTTCTTGCCACCGTGTTCTCGGGGATCCTGGCTTCATTTCTAGATATAATTAATGGTAATAAAGTCTGAGGGTTAAAATATGTGGATCTCTAGGGCCATTTCTGTGCCTGGGTGGGATGGGGAACAGCATCCTAGCACTTACATATAAGAGCGAGAGCTTTTTTCTGCTGCAGCTCTTCAGGCATAGTCCCAGAGGCAGAGCACTGCCAGTAACTCCTTGACATTGAGGAATACTGCTGAGGAAAAGAAATGCTTCCTTTTTCATAGAAACTCATTTTTAATGGATGTTCAGTCACTTTTCCTCAAATGCAGATTTGTTGGAGCTGGACAGGAGCAGCTAGAGATCCATAGGATAGTAGCTGTATATGAGCAACAAGAGATACTTGCCAGGACAGCTCCAAAGCCATCCCGTGAATCGAGAAGGATTTGAGATGCTGCCCTTATAATCAGCCTTCAAACCTATTTTTTCCTCTTCCTTCCTTCCTTCCTTCCGAGTTTTACTTACAGACTCAGCCAGCCACTGAGCCTTCTCCCTCTAAAAGAGTATCTCACCCTTCCTGCCTTCCTCCCTATTTCTCCCTCACTTCTAATTGCACGGTCCAACTTCCTGGCTCTGCTGATTCAGATGCTTGTCAGATCCTGTACCAAATTTTTTAATGTGGTAGAAAACTATTCATTTTTTGATGGTTTGTTTTTTTACTACTTCAGTGACTCATATTTGCTCTTGATGAATGGCAGAGCCAGACAAGGTAGAAGGAGGATGTGCAGCCAGCAGTAGAGAAGCAAGGACAAGGCTGAAGAAAGAGCTGGATCCTCCCCTTTCAGCATTGGTGGGCTCCACCTGTCTCAAAGAAACATACCCTGACATTTAATTTAAGAGATCAGATTTTGGGTTTCTAGATTTACTACCTGTATGAAAAATAAAGGAACTGTCTTGCCAATTTATGTGCTTTCTTCTGTTCTGTAGGTCAGAGCAGGAAGACTTATTTTTCAAAAAGAAAACAAAATGATGACAGATAAGGTTAATATGAAAATACCAGCAGCCTGAAAGAGGTCAATGGTAAAGCAAGTAATGGTGGCCATGCCTATTTGTCTGTCTCTACCCATTTTATCAGGCTTCCCTACATCTGGTCCAAGCATAGGATCAAAGCCTGCAGTAACAAAGAGAACAAGCCAGAAGAGAAGCTGTCTTCCCTCCCACACATCAAGGAATGAGGTAGCTGCTCTCAGTGCAATTTACACCAAATCTGAAGGAAAAGATAAAGCATAGGCAAGGAATGATGGAGTCGTCTTCTCATTTTTACCTGGTTGCTGTGTATCATTTGGGTGAACAGATAATGTTTAGATAATACTCTGTTTTGAAGAAGCTGTTTCTGAGTCACTCAGATCAGCTGCTGATCCCAGAAGAAGAGTGAAATGAAGATGCCAAATGCACTTGGGTCATTCACGTTATATTTGTGAAAAAGGGTACTGCGACATGGAAACACCTCCCGAGTGGTAGGGCTGCACCCGTTTAGCTACAGAGGAGCTGTTGGCAGACTCCCGTCATGGAATCGTAGCTATTCATTTACTTTCTCTGTGAAGGGCAAATGAATTAGCTTCTTTGTGCCCTCCCAAAGCCCCATGGAGGGAATTCTATAGTAAAGGTCTTCAGCAAGTGTTCAGGGTAAAGATGCGTCCAAACGCTGCAACCCCAAAGCCATGGGGGAACACTGCTTTGTAGGACTTTGTTATACCTCCTTGAACTGCTTTATCTTTAACATCACATCTCCCATCTCAGAGCTGTTTTTTATTGCTGAACAAAATTTCTGAACATGTGCATGGAAAATATACAGAATGTGTGATAGGACCCTGATAGCTGAGAGGAACGTATGTGATGAAATCGGGTGCAGAGGCCAGGGTACCTTACGTCTATTAGACTTCAGTGGATTCAGGCTTTGTATCAACAAGTCTGGTTTCTTCCATATTTCCCTGAGATATTTTCTGACATTTTTAAAATGAAAAATTACAAGTTTAAAAGGGTATGTTCTCTTCAGATGAGCTCTTTAAAGATCTTGCATGCAGCAGCTGATATTTCAAGCTGTTGAATTAGTAGTTCTGGGTTTCCTTTTGTACTTGTCTGTGCCAAAATGCGATTAGTTGTTTCAGCCCACTCATAGCCTTGGTTTGAGATGTCTGTGCATTAAGTTAGAAGGGAAACAGTCGTGGTTCAGGTCCAATATTTGATCTGCATTATAATTGTTAACATTTCTTTCCTACATAGATTTTTCAAGATACATTGCCAGGAAATTTTAAAGCAGTGAGTTCTCGTTTTCAAGTGCCTTCTCATTCCATATCTTGTTTTGATCCTGGAGACAGGCAAGACACCAAATCCTTGTGTGTCAGGAATTGGGGAAAAAAGGGGAAACAGGTGCTGACACTTGGCTGCAAACTATTGAAAGCAAAAGGAAACTCCAGGCTGGAGCAGATGATGCAAATGAAGCACTTTGATTTACAGTAATTGTCCTGAGTGGAACCTCAACAACACGGGCAGGACAGTGTAAAACACTGTTTGCTGAAATCGATACCAGCCGTAAGTCACAAAAGATTCTGCAAGTAGGCTAAAGGTAGCAAACTGAACAAGTACGAACATCCAGGATTTTACCCATATTTTTATATACTCAGAATAATGCTCTCCCCGAGGAGCTATGGTAGCAGCTTGTGAGGGCCAGGGTCAGCTGCTACAATGGGCCTTGGACATTGTGGCATACGCAGCCTGTCATAGCTGTTGCGTACTTCATGATTTCCCTGTTCTTGATTGGCTTTTACGCACTGCCTTCATTGCCATCCCTCTTGGAGGAAACAAAGACAAGTGTGTGCCAGGAGAGAGTGGTGAGGAAAGCCCTGTTGAAATTGCTGGGAAGATGTTAAAGGTAGCAGCCTCAGTGGAGTTACTGTCCTGTCATGTCACATTTGCAGCGACTCACTTCAATTCACAGGATACTGTAAAATTCACACAATAGGCAATATTTGTATCTATTTTAAAGCTGAATGTTGTTCATATTTTGGGAATGGATTTGGCATGAATATCCAAATGACTAGAACAGGATTTTTTTAAGTTTTTATTCGGAAGCTGGTGTAAGCACTCTGAATTGGCGTAGCATTTGTAGAAGAGCTATAAATGTCCTATGATGAATCAGGTGATCTGGAAAATGATGTAAGAAACCTAATGCTGGGCATAATGTTCAAGAACATAAAATTCCACTTTTGGGGTAGGAGATGGAAGAGATAAGAAAGCTCTGTCCTTGCCAAAACAATGTATTTTGCGCTTCATGTGATCCAACCCTATAGATCTACACCAGGAAAGCCAATGGTTTTGTGTGTGGAGGCCCTAAGGGAATAAGAAATGGCACCCCTGTAAGACTGAAAGATAAGGGCCTTTCCTGCTGCTGCTGCTGCATCCTCTAACTTCATCTGCCATGCTGGTCTCACCAAAGCTTCTCTTATCAATTTGAGTGCTACTCCTGCAGTCAAACATGTTATTTGAAATATTTAGTTACTTGAATAAATGGCTCAAATCTGTAGATAACACCTCAGAGGAATCAGCTTTGTTAGAGAGCATCATCAGCTGTTTTCCCAACAGAGTAAAGATGTATGTATTCTCTTGGGCATCTATTATACCCTCTTTACTCAGCCATGTTCGATGAAAATGCAGAAATAAGTGTCTGAAAGGCAAACAGCAAACGTTAAAATGTTATTAAAAAAAGTGATTCTTTTAAAGCAAAGCAGCCCTATTTGCATTCAATGTGTTTTTTTTAAATTTTAGGCCTCCATGAATAGAGCCCATTGTAACTTTGAGAGGTGGGAATGAGCCTGTGAGGAGTCATCCACAGGGGCTTTGCAAAAATTTAACATCTGACAAACAAGCACCTGCTATAGCGAGGACAAGGTTTTAGTTCTAGGAATTTCATAAATATTTATTTTCTATGAATACATGGTTGCATCTTGCCGGAATATTAATATTTATATTTTCTCTACTTTCACAGTTGTTTTAGAGTCAGAAGAACCAGGCATCTCAAGCGTGTCTGCTAAAACACATGGCTAAATTTAAACTGCACCGTTTAATATCGCTAAGAAAGAATATTTTAGCTCTTTCAGCGCGATGGCATTTAGAATAAAATGTTCTTTCACTTTCTAAAGCTCAGATACATGGAAATCTCTGCAATTGCTGGAAAAACTCTATTTTTAAGAGAAATGGAGTAATGTGAAGGAGCTCACTCGGAGCCTGGCTGCAGCACTAGTCCCCCTTTGCAGGCCCGACTTGGGGTTTCATCACATTTTCCATCACTTTAGCACAAGTGGGAATAACATCCTACCCCCCAGCGTGGGGTGGCCAGGGGATCAGGGGCCCACATTTTGGGTTTGATCCATGTTTTGAGGGGTGGGCTGCGGCTGTGGCCTCCTGCTTGCTGCGGTGCCAAAGGCTGACACGCCGAGCCTCCACCAAACGACTCCCATCGTCTTTCACTGGCTTTCCTTCTCAGGATGCCGCAAGCGACGAGCTTTCCAGGGCGGAGGGAAGGTGGCTGCGTCTGCCAGCCGGGACCAGGCCGCTGGCTGCGGCAGCGGCGGGAGGTGAGGCGCGGCCGGGCCCGGCCAGGGCCGCGTTGCCATGGCGACGGCGCGGGGCTGCTGCCATGGCGGAGAAGGAGGGGAGCGGCGAGGGTAAGGCCGGGCCGGGGCCGGGCCCGCCCGCCCCAAGGAGTGTGCGGGAGGGCTGGTGGGGGGGGATGAGCCGCCGCTGGGAGGTGGCCGAGCGGGGCCTGACCCACCGCAGCCTCCGGCGGCGGGAGAGACGGCGGGGTCTGCCCTTCCTGGGGCTGGTGCCAGGACGGCATATATATGTGACATATATATGTGTCTGTGCACATATGTATCTACATGAATGCATGCAAACGCACATATTTATATAAAAACACCTTCGCCTCCCCCCGCCTCCGTCTCATTCACGATGGCCACACCACTGCCCCTGCCTCAGGCCTGCCCTAGGGCCCAGGGCTTCTCCCCAGCGCTCGGTCACTGGACGTTCCACCAGCTGCCCGCGGCCATGCCACCCGTGACCAGTGCCACCCATGACCAATGCCACCCGTGACCAGTGCCACCCGCGGCCAATGCCACCCGCAGACCACGGGCGCTGGCAGCCTTATGGCTGCTCAGGGTGCAGCCAGAGTTGATGGCAGCGGGGCCAACGGCCTGGTCACAGCGTGGGGTGGCTTGCAGGGCAGCCAAGGTGGCTAGACTGGCTGCTGGAGCCAGTTGGCCATCACCCCTTGCAGTCATTTCTGGATGCATCGGGCTCTCTCTGCCAGGAAAAAGTAATCTCTGCTGCTGATAGCGCCATAGCTTATTTTTAGAGGCAAGCATGTTCTACTTTAGGGAGCGTTGCCAAAAATTATATTTTACAGGCTAAAGGTAATTCCTCCTGCATCGAGTATCAGTTCAACAATTCCATAAGTAAAATTGTGTGTGTTGCAATAGTTCAAAAATTCTGAACACTGTATTTGCAATAATCAAAATAATGGATTATTTCATATTATTTAGGGAAACACTAATATATTCCATAGAAAACTCCTGTATAAATAGTTGCTGTGGATGGTGCTGAGTAAGTGATTTTGGTAAAAGTATTTCCAGCATGCACTTTGTAGTATAGTTATCATGCAGAAATTTAGAAGTAAGACTGATGTAGCTTCAATGAGGGCTGTTCTAAAAGTATTACTTCCTTTATATTATTTTTCATTTTTGCTTAGTCTTTTGAAAGCATATTTTTTGCATCTTTCCAGTCTTGCAAATGAAGCTGAGGCTCATCTGAGAAGAGGGAATCTGGTGTTCTGGCAGGATAACAGTAATATTGGGAAATTCTGGCTCCATGTATTTTGGGCACCCATATGTACAATTTTGAGATTCTGCACCATTTTCTCAATCTCAATAGTCAGAAACTCTTGGGGAAGGAAGGTCATGGGTTTTGGTTGCTTGGTTAATGGCTTTTGATGCTGTTTTTGTAGTTTCAAAGTGACAATGCTTTGTTAGAAATTTAAGTACTGTATTACTGAAGACAGATTCTCTTGGTTTTTTTTTCACATTTCATTTTTTTTAGCATCATGTAAAACATTATTCCCAGTAGAGAATCAGATGTCATCTTTTAGAAAATTGTGCCGTCATCCTAAACAATCTTGTCCCATAAGCTCCATTCCTGGCCCTGCCAGACTTCCTGATGGATCATGGAAAGTGACATACTGGGTTTTGGTTTCCTATCTGTAGAATGAGGTCAAACGTGTATCACACGGACGAGGTATCTGATTTACCTTCTGTCACTAATGAGAATCACAGTCTGTTATTAGGCAAACCAGTTGCTTATTGGCCTATAAAGGTGTCTCATTATTATAAACAGGGTTGAGGTAAGCTAACAGTCAGTGTCTCGTTAAACTGCAGAAGCAATCCAGTAAGAAGTAGTCACACCCATTTCAGAGTTGCTATTAGACTTCTTGTACATAGCAATTAAAGGGTTAATTAGGATTCCTCGATTCCAGATTCGCACATCAATCATGTTTCTTCTGACAAGCATTTCACATCTATGCAAATAGCAACTTCTGCTTCAAACAGAACAATAACATTAGTTGTATTGTCAAATAATTAGTCTTTAGGGTATTCCTCTCGGTTCTTTGTAGAACTGCAGTTCCACCGGCTTTCATGTTAAAGGTTTCCCTTAGGTCCTATTATTTTCAAGTTTTGTCTTCTTCAAAGTTAAAATGCCTGCTAAAATGTTTTACAGATGTACACAATGTACACAAGGAAAAATGGTGAAATGCCAAATCCTGCAAGCTCTTCTACATCATGTTACTCGCATGAGTATTACCCTCTAACATGCAATTCTTGTGAATAAAATCTTATAGAAGTGTTAATGGGATCATGTCCAGACTGTCTGTAGCTATGTTTCATGTATGAATTTATATCCCCGCATTTGTACTTTTCACATTATTTAATGTTTCTTCTTTGTATCCATCTGATTACACTAGACTGTTTTCTTAATCTTTCTCTTCTGTATATTTGTGTGTATCTTCTATCATTCTGTTTCTTTCCCTTTTTCTGCTACTTAATCCAGTCTGTCTGTTCTTCCATTTGCTCTCAGATAGTTTCTTTGTAATTTGACACAACATGTCAGATTTTCTAAGTTTTAATATCTCTGATCTCAATACTGATGTTCCTAGAACCTGAAAGCAAAATGTCAGACCGGTACTGCCTGAAGTAGAACTAGACAGAAGACAAGACATATTTTTCTCCAGCTGGGATTTGAGAAATCACATGAAAGCACATAAAGGAGAGAACGCTCAGTGTTCCTATATCATTATGGTAATGTTATATAATTGATCAGTATTAGAGTTTTTCTGAGACCATATTCTTTGTGCTAGTTAACGCATATTTAAAATGCAATTAATAAGTCATGAATTTTAATTCAAAAGGAAGTATATTAAATAGTCTGAGCTCCTGTTTCACCCACTTACACCCATATGAAACCGAGTAACTAGTTCTGGATAACAGATGTCCTCCAGAAAGATACCTGATTCTGATGCGAAGACCTACGAAGATGGAGAATAACTGTTCTGTGATGATGGTTTTCTCTGGTAGATGATTAGTAGTTGTTCTGTGTAATTTGAGTCACAGGTGCAGTACGTAATCAGGCCTCACAGATCCTCTTCCCCACTTATGAAATGGTCATGTGGAGGTTGTTAGTGGAGATGGGAAAGAGTTTTCACCCCGATTTCAGTGCCTTATGTAAATACAGTAGTAGTGCGTTCAATCATACACATATATCTGCTCTTTAACTGCCCCAGTTTGGCACCTGGCATGCTGGTGAAATGAAAGATTTACTGGAGTTTACATTTGGTAAGAAGCAGCTACATACCCATTCAGCTATTACCTTGCAAAGAAGCAAGAGTTGCCCCTACTCCACCTGCCCCGCCGAATCCTCCCGCCTCTGGAGGTAGGATCTAGACCTTTCCTCTCTGTGTCACCTGGCTCTGCCTGGATTCTGTGTTGATATACTGAAAATGTGCTATCACTGCTCATTCTGTGTTAATAAAGTTGTGAGTCCAAGCTTAGAGAGCCTGGTTACAACTGCTCACTGCCACAAGCGCTGTGAGCAGTTGTAACCATTAATTCTGCCCAGAGCACGCTTAATTAACATGAGAGTTTCAAACCTGACTCAGAAAAGCACTTAAGCTGTGTACAGCTTTGGGGAATCCCTCTGAATGGGATAATATGATGCACATGATGCTTAAGCACATGAGTACATTTAAGGGTCTTGCTATATTGAGGATTTTAAAATGCATTTTTGAGAGTTTCACAAATAGGCATCAGCATTTGAAAGGTACAAAAGCTATGGATTAAATACTCACAATAAACCTTCAGGCTAAAGGAGTCCATCAGACAAATTATCTCTAATTTAAAAAGTGGCAGTGTTTAATTTATGGAAAAAAATGCTAAATTAGTATGAGTTGTTAAAAATAAGTAGCTTTCATAGGGCTCAAGCAAGCAATATTTCAGCTCTAGAAGAAAATCTGAATATATGAGATCACTTAGGAAATCAGTGTGCAGTTTTATCACAGTGGAATTTACAGATGAAACTGAATATTTTTATATCCCCTTGTTGACATTACTGTGAGAAATTACATGAGAAGAGTCTATAGCCTTTATTAGACTGTAATGCAGTTTAACATGCACCTTGACATCAATCTGAGTTATGTTTTAATATCTGTATTTATTTGAGAGTGAAACAAAAAATAAATTTTGTGCGTCTCCCATGGACAAACATGGGCTGTAGATCCAATCCTCTTGGCTATACTCCTGCAGTAAAAGTTGATCTCAGATGGATGTAGAATAGGTAATTGCAGATTGACAGGTTTCTCGTTTCCATGGTGCATAAAACAGCAGAAGTTTTTCAGTTTGGCTCTACTCTACTTCTAGCTGACTTACTGAATAAAAAATTGGCTGGTGTGCAGAAAGGCTTTAAACTTTTTTGTCTTTTAAACAATGCCAACCAGCAGATACGCAGTGCTGACAGGGAGCTCAAGAACTCCCACAAATTATCTTTCCAACAATAGTTAACATGTTATTAAGAATTTCCGTGTCTACATACTAATTATTCTGAGATCTGTGGGGTTGTTTTTTTATTTTTTTTTTTGCCATTTAGAAGTACCTTTATTTTGTGTGAACAGATACCGCTTCGTTGCTATTGGCAAGAAGCTCTGGCAGGCTAAAGGTTGTGGAAGGGATGTGGTCTTTTGGGTAACAGAGGTCTGACAAGAGCCTGTGGTGGAAGGAGCTGAGCGTTTCTCCCCCAGGTGGGAGGTGGCCATGCAGACGGGGGTGCTGGTTACACTGCTGCTCTGCCCTGGCCAAATCCTGCCCTGGGGTCTGTCCGTGGGGGTATGGGTGAGGTGGGGGGTCAGAAGCTGAGAAGAGCTCCTGCACATCCTGCGAGGTATCCTGCAGAAGGTGGCCAGAGCTCCTTGTGCACAGCTCACAGGTGCCCAGGGCAGGGGTAAAAGCTACCGGCACGGGAAGGGGCTGGAGGTCCTAAAACCTACCTCAGGCCCACACGGCTTTTGAGGTTTGCATTACGTGCTACCTGACAGGTCTCAGGAGATATTTTTATAAATGGTCTTTAA